TCCTGTGGCCCATGTAAGGAGAAAAAACGCCAGGGAGTTGCTGAATGCCGGTGTTGGTGGCAGCGCCTGTGTGCTTTTGAGGATATTGTGTGTTCAGTGCCTGCCATCTAGTGGGCAAGAATCAAATTAGGAGATTTCAGTTCTTCGTGAGATGTGTCTTGGCCTTGTTCATTAAATCTTAACTAAATTAATCTCTACATAGTGTTATGAGCCAATATTTACAACTTTACTTTTTAGCACCATAGTTTTAACTATTTTAGCACTGCCTAGCTACCCAAGTAGCCTGAATGCAATGAAATCCTACAGTCATGAGTAGCAGTTACATTCTATTGACATCCAGTTCTGTGAAATTACTCTACTTTTCAAACCTACAGCATGTTAGTGTGTGGCATTTCCAAACGTGACACATAAGCTTTGGGCTTTAAACAGCTATTGATTTAAGTCTCTGGGAAAAGCAATTGTCTTAAGTTTTTATGGAGAAGAGAGTCTTGAGCTCCATCTCTTGGTAATGTCTCTTAGAATCCCAGAGATAGGCAGAAAAGCTTCTTTTATACCCAGTCAGCTGACACGGAAATAACCAGGCATTTGCCACTTCTCATATTTCAAAAGTTGCAAATCTTACCTTTCTATCACCTCACAATTCATTTTTTTCTTTCTTCCTACTTAATATTCAGTGCTTTTATCTAGAAGACCTTGAACTCCTTTAGATGTGTAATTGACTTTGTGGACTGCACAGACAAGTTATGTAGATCCAGCATGAAAAAATGGGGTCTGCAGTGTGTAATGGTAAACAGTAAGATGAGTTAGTGACTTGCTGGGAGATGCAGGGATTTGAAATGCTTGTGTCAAGATAAAATAGCCCTTTGGAAAATCTCTTGAAGTTTGGTATGACTTTAGCCAATATGGGGGACTGTTGTGTCCTTGTTGCATGGTAAGGGAGAGGTCGTGGTGAGATCTTCAAATGCTAAGGCTGTTTGGAACACAGGGCATTGTGTCATCACGTGGTTTGCATCCACCTCTTGCTACCATTTTGTAAATCTACTGGAAGGCATTGTGTTTCTTGCAGGGTAACTGGGGAAAGTGCAACCTATGCTTTGAACGCCATCAAGCTAGATAATTGACCATGACAGTCTTGTCTTGCTTTCAATCAAGAAAAATATAAAAAAAAAATTGGGAAAGGAATGAAAAGCAGGCAGACATGTCTTTGGCCATAAGTCCATAATTAAGGCTGATGAGAAATGTGGGCTGTTAATATCCGTGGTACAGCTGGACATTGAGCAGAATGCAGATGAGATGGTCAAATAGAGTAGAAATACTGTTCTGTCAGCTTCTTGGTATTCTTAGCACAAGCAACCAAGATCGCCAGACTTGATCTTCCTTTCTTAATCTGCTGTGTGTGGCTGTTTCAATTTGGAGTGAGGTATGAAGTTTTTCTTAAGATGCTGGAGAATAAAAGATAAATATGTAGGACTGTTAAGAAAGAGAAACCTTCTGGCAAATACAAAAGAAAAGCCTTCTAGCGTATGTAGTCAGGTGGGAATGAGAAAAAGAACTCTGTACTCAGAGTAATGGATTGGGAAACAAGATGAAGGAGAGGAGGCACAGCAAAGTGCTGGAGCTTGGGAGGTGACAGGGAATTGTGTGATGGTGTGCTCCTGAGCCATTTATGGCCGTATGTGAAGCATTTCTTGCCATACCCAGTACTAGTCCCACAAAGGGAGGAAGAAGTAGATGTGACGGTCTGCTGAATTCGGAAGGAAGAGCTGCAAATGACAGGGTATAAAAATAAGTTCATGCAAGCCATTCATCAAAGTTTGATTTGTTGTTCCCAAATCACTGTTTCTTAAATGTGTTTTCCCATAGGGTACGCTCGCTGAACGTATTAGAGCAGGAGGAGCAGGAATCCCAGCGTTTTACACCAGTACCGGCTATGGGACATTGGTGCAGGAAGGGGGTGCGCCTATCAAATACAACACTGATGGCACCATTGCCATTGCCAGCCAGCCAAGAGAGGTAAGATGTCAGTTTGTTATTAGGAAGCCTTTTGCTTTGAAATACGAATTTCTTACATGTTTCCAATATAATCAGTAGTTTAAGCACCTCCTGGCCAAGTTTAACCTTGGTATATTGGATTAACAGGATGGCTGTGGTACAAGACATGTTAGTTTTCCTCCCACTACTCATTTCTGTCCTCTTTGATGTGTTGTTAGAAAAGTTTTTACAGCTTTAGGGTGGCTTAGCATCAAGAACAGGTCCAAGTGAAAACCTGCCTCACAGAGTTACTCTTCATGTGACAGTTCTCTGACCAGGTTTCCTGTGTATTCAAACAAAAGCTTGTATCAGACCACTGCAGTGCATGGAACAGATTGAGAACAACCTTCTATTAGTGGGGCAGGTTCTCCTTAAATACTGTGGTGTGGAATAAGTAGCCGTGCAGCTTTATGTGAAGCTGTAGCATTAGAAGAGATTGGATGTTTTCCTGTTAAACAGGGAAGAGCTCAAGTGGCACAAACTTTCAGGAAATGCATTTGTGAACAGTTGAAATGCAATTTAGTCTGAGTATTTGAGATTGCAAAGGACTAAAAAGAGTTTGGCTTCCAGGTGAGAAACAAGGGCTTCGTACTGAAATTGCATATAGAATTTGGAGAAGGGAAGAGATTTCTCAGTGCCATAACTGTCCTTGAAGAAATGCATGGGGATAATGCTGTATGTTCCAATTAGGCTGAAAATGGCATTAAATACTACCTCAGGAATGTCTCTGGGGTAAAGCTAATTTTTGCCCCACCGTGGTTTTAGTGTGTTTTATACATGGCTATTTTCAGTAGCTAATCACTAACCTAGTCTGTTTTTTTCCATATTTTTCTTACTGAATATGTCCTTCAGATGTTTTACCATTTGAAGGAATATTTTGTTTATTAAAGAACTTACAATTTTGATAACAGTTTTCTTCTACTTTTAACATCTGTAGAAAAGTCTGTCTTACTCTTCTCAGTCTTTTGGGGAGCTAATAACCTGGCTCACATGATTTAATCAAATCCATTCTCCAAATCCATTTTGAATGTAAGTGTCATTTGATAAAAGCTCAGATGTCCTTTTACAGGAGTGAAAACCTAACTTCTGATGCACGTTTGTTATACTTCCCCCCACCTCAGACATTTTAAATCGCTCTCAAATAGTAGTTGTGTATGCTCTAACCTTCTATGTTGTTAAGAGAAATGCTGTTTCATGTTTCTATATAGGATTAAAATGCTAGCTCTTTGTCAGTTACATATTCTGGCTTCAGGCACAATAACATTACAAATATTGACCATAAATGCTGAGAAAACCAGATGAAATTCAACCTGTCAGATGATGTGATTGGAGTACTCTGTCTCAAATCCACTTCGTTGTAGATTTGAGGTTTCTGGTAGTAGACAGTGATTACGAACTTTTTCAGTGGTTCTGGTTTAGCACTTTTTAGTTTTTTGTTAGCTGGTAGATGTGCAGGAAAAAGCATGTGTAATTCCAGTAGGTGGAGCAACAGGAACATGGATCTGATTCTTGTTCTGTTTTGCTAAACAGAGACACTACGATAAAACTGGGGTTTACAGCCTTTCTGTGCTTCTCTGGTGTTCTACAGTTGAGCTACAGTTTTTCAGATAAAACTATGTAGTATGAAAAGAAGTCAAAATATAACAGTCTGTAAAGTTAAACCCATAAAATAACTATTACATGGGACATCTGTTTGAAGAAACCTGCATCTCAATAGTGTACTTTTCTCTGTAGGTGCGAGAGTTTGACGGCCGTCACTTTATTCTGGAGAAGTCAATTACAGGAGATTTTGCTCTTGTGAAGGCATGGAAGGCTGATCGTGCAGGAAACATCATTTTCAGGTAAGACTTGTTTACCAGTGGGAAAAGATTTTTTTAATGGTTTGTATCATGAAAGAGAAGGAGAATCCTGTCTCTTGTGTGATAGCAAAAGAATGTTTTACTGGTTTCACTTTCTTCGTATTGCCTTTCCCTCCTGACAGATTCTACTGCTATAAAAAACAAAATGTACTTGCTTTTTCTAATGACTTTTGAGAATTCAAACATAGCTGTGAAATAAAACATTAGTAGTTAAAAATGAGACATAGCAGACCAAAGTCATTATGATGACTGTGGAGGGGAGGAATGTTGTGACATTCTGTTCATTTCAATTTTCATGTTTGGGTCCTTTTCCTTGTACAACTGAAGGCTGTCCCAAGAAGTGCAGGCTTATGGATGTCAGAAGAGAAGGGAACTGAGTCAGTCTTCTGGCCAGTTAGTGATGGGGAAAACTTGATTCCATCCCCAGAAAAGTGTGTTTAAAGTCGATTTGATCTCAGTAATGTAGGGAGAGGCATCACAGGAATTTAAACATCTTTTGTAGTGTTTGAGTTGCTGTATTTGTGCTCTGGTTTGTCCAGAACTGAAGTAGGAGAGGTTTGCTTATGTTAACGTCTGGTTTTCATTTGTTTGTTTTACGGCTACCAGATGAAAAGGTAAGTGTTATGGTAATCAGTTGTAGTTTACTACAAGAGGATGCTGAATGCTGCAGTCTGTCTTTGTATGTATCAAAACAAACAAGGATTTGAAAAAGCAACTGAAGATTTTACAGATAAAATAATACCAATAAACTAGTGCTATTTTGTGTATATATGTTTATGTACAGCTGTATTTACATAAATTTTTATCTATCTTATAAATATAATAACAGTATCAAGGTAAAATACTTGAAAATTAAGAAATACTTTTTTATTTTACCCAACTTTTTACATCCTGTCTTGCCCTCTGGCAAGACGGTTTCTGATTGAAAACTGAACTTTCTTGTGTGCGTGCACATGAATTTGATGGCTGCTCAACTGCTTTCCTTAGGATCTGGGATAGGGAGTATAGGAAACAGTCTTCTGCCTTGGGCTTATCTTGGTTAGATCTGGAGTCTCTACTGTCTCTGCTTTTATCCCATGTCTATCTACTGATTCTTACTTACCTATGAAAAATCCTTTCCACAGAAACAGACTGGCTGCGTTCGCCCTTTTTCCCTTCTTCCTTTATGTCCCGTGGTCTCTTTTTGTGCCTTTCCCTCTCCCTCCTGTTCCTTTCAGAAGCCTTCATCTGTCTTCCACATTCACACAACCCAATCAAAGATGGAAAGATCATCATCCAGTGTTTTGTTCCATGTAGAATATTGCTAGCTTAAAAGAATTTTCTCATGATAAGCAGTGATTCATTCTGGTTTTTGTCGAGACACAGATTACCTTGTGGCCTGCATAGGCTCATCTCATAGCCTGCGGGAGACAACAGAGGAGAAAATTGTAATAGATAAGAATATAACAGCAATATTTCTGTGATCTACAGGATAAAAAGGAAGATGTATTTTTGACATCTTGCTACATACTGAGTATGTATTCACTGCCAGTGTGACCTTTCTATACTTTTTTTTTTTATTATGTGACTTCTGTTTTTGTTTGCTGAAACATGCCTAGATAGACACAAGCTCTGTGTTTACTCACATCTGCCACTGCTGTCACAGCAGTGTGGTACTGTTCGTAATGTGTGTCCTACAACTCTGGTATCTGTGGAACCTATAGGAATGAAGTGTCTGCCAAACAGTTAATCACCCTCAAGCTAAGAGCTTTTTTGAATCTAGAGAATGTACTTGTCAGGCCAGCAAGAGATTTTTGTCTATTCTCATACATGAAGCTATGCTGTTTTCTTGGGGATCCAGAATGGCAGCAGCTCCTTTAGAAAGCAATTTTTTAGGCAGGGTTTTCTACATGATACATCATGTCGCCTAGCTCTTCTGTTCCATACAGCATGCTGTCGCTCCTTTGCTTCCAGGCATCTGTATGCTGAGTAGGCTATTCTGCACCACAGCTCTTGCCTAACAAGACCTGTGTCTGGCCCAGTAGTTAATAATACTTAGGTATAGTGCACCGTTGCCAAGACAAATAATCCAAGACTCCCTCAAATGTAAGGAATGGGCATTTTGCTTTGTTAGTCTGATGCTGGTACTGGTTCTGCTTAGCAGAACAGAGCATCTCCAGGTCTTAAGCTCCTTGGAGCTTTGCTCATTAGGGACAACAGCAGGGAGTGCCACTGCTTTTGTGGATATTCTAGCTCCTTTGGGTCCTCCCCCCCGGCCATTTTCATCTGGTACTGTTCTGCTTTGGAGTTGTTGCACTCCAATACATTTTCACTTTACAAGCAAAGGTGTGGTTTGGTGCAGATGAAAGTACACGCTTGTCAAAGGAACAGGGATGTTGAAGGGGTAACCTGAGTCGGGGCCCCTGCTGTCACAGACAGTGATGTCAGGTCATCTCTTCATGCTTCAAGTGGTTCTGCAGTATATAAATTCAGCTTATATCTGAGATGTCCCTTCACCTCTGCACCATTAGGTATGTAGTGGATGTAGTTTGTTGGTTTAGCCTACTATGAACTATTTCATGATCTTATGCCTTTGGGAGAAAAGCTGTTATCATGCCTTTGGGTCAACTTAGGAATCCATTATTGGAACAGTGGACTTTGTAGACGTTGCTGAGTCTAGATGTCCAGAAAGCTTTATTAAAATAAAAATGCAAACTTGGCTAGCTAGTTTCTGGATTTCCTACTCCAAAAACCTGAATATTATTCTGTGCTGAAAAATAAGCAGTGTTTCTGTTTTCTCTTCTTCTGGATGAGAAGTGCTTTAGAATTAAGGCTTTCAGTCTTGTAAAAGACTGCTGCTTCTCAAACAACGTTGTTAATCCAAGAACATCCTAAATTGTTGAGCTTTGATAAGTAGAGTTGGAATCAAGCTCATTAACTTTACTTCATTTGACATTGAAATGTTTTCTTGTAGCTTTTTCCCATATGTAAAAATGATTTTCTATCAGTTTCTTTTACTGGCAGAGCAGCCATTATGATCTTGAGATAGTCTCAGCCTCAGAAAAGTAGTAGCTTGGGTTGAAATACTGAATTCCTTGTTTCCACATCTGCCTTCCTCCATCTGTTTGCATTCCCCTGCTATTTTAATTCAGCTTTTTTAACTCTGTTTTTCTTCTCATGTTCTACTTGGGTTCTTTTGCCTAAGTCACTGCTAGCTAGTATTGTATTCATGCACTAAGAGAAGAATATAAATTCAAGTTTGTTTGTTTTTTTGTTTATTTGTTTTCTTTATGATATCTCCTTACGTCCTTTTGTGTTTACACAGCCACAACAGAGACGCAGGGACAAAAGATATTGTCCCTTCTACAGCCTCTGTTAGAGGGTTCACAGCTGCTGTATATTGCCAATAAAACAGGATTTCCCCAAGATATGTGTCTTTGGGTGTAGCTTTAATTCTGTAGATCTCTGCACTAGAAATCCAGTTAAAATTGCATGGTGGTCTCCAGACTTGGCCATTTCGATTCCCTCCCTCCCCTAAAGCCACGAGGTGGCAGCAGCATCCTAAAGTTCAACATGTCTATAGCCCTAGGCATGGTCATCGCACAAAAGGTTGAAGAAAGGAGGAGAGGGCGTTGGAAAATGAGGATGGTCAGAAAAAAAAAAAAAAGCTTCTGTGGAAAGGGGACGGGAGGAAGGGAGGTTTTGACTTGTTTAGATCCCTAGTTTCATGCATTTTGATGAAAATTTTTCAAGAATTCTGCCTTTTAAAAGAGAAAAATGATGAGAAGCTATCAGTGGAACCCCACTAAAATCAACATTATTTTTCTTAAATATTATGCCACATAGTTTTGTTAGCTTTCTGAAGAACATAGAGAGGGGCTGACACAGGTCACTTTGGTTTTCTTTGTGCCTGGCAGGATCTCAGTGCAGAGCCCAGTATGGTTATATGTGTCACGTTTTACTTTTATTCCCTAGGGGTTCTTTTTCCTTGTTACAGAAATACTGCGTGGGAATACTTAGGATGAATGCCAGGGTCTTGCAGTGAATGCCAAGACTAGCGCAGCTTTTTTAATCAGGAGAATTGGATTAAATTTACTACTGTGCAAAGTGCTATCCCAAGTCCTAGTCTGAATTATGAAGGCAGATGTTGGACTTGAGAGGTTGTTAAGCCCTGTGCTGGCCCCCCTGTAGAGATTAATTTCATTCTATGTGCAGTGAAATAATGGGAAGGTACATTGTACAAAGCCCAGCTTGCTGCTTCTCTTGGGTCTAATAAATGAAGATATCAGTAGCATACCCAATTTCAATTAAACAGTGTGCTGATTTAAAGTCATAAGAGCTGTAATAAATATTTTCTAATGCAGCAAAATATGATTTAATTTCGTATGCATCCTACACAATTCCATAATACCTTTTTCTCCCTCCTGTTTTTTTATTAGTCCTCTAGCAAAGGACTTTCCTTTGGCGAAAAGATCTATGACGTTTATATTACAGAGATACTTGTAGCTTATCTCTGAAAAGTCTTTTCTTGTACTATTGCAGGTTTCAATATTTATTAATTTTATTTTCTTTTGCAGGAAAACTGCAAGAAACTTCAACCAACCCATGTGCAAAGCGGCCAAGACAACAGTGGTAGAGGTAGGGAATTGAAACATAGTAAGCCCTATACTCCTGTAGTCAACAAACCCCTTTGTTTGGATTGTATTCTGGGGACAGAGTTCTCATTTTCTTGACTCATTGGTGTATTTCACACCAAGGACAGTGCTCTAACCTGTCTCATTAGATTGCCTACCTGTAACACTATGCTCCATTTTAGTGATTAGTTCACCATGGTTCCTCAGTTTATTGCTGTTTGTCGAATCCTGGTCAGAACTTCGAGTTCACTATGATCAGTCTTTGAAAGGGAAACATGGCAATAGCCTTCAAATTTTCTAAATAAGACAATAGGTGGATGAAAGAAGAAACAGTAGGCTTAGGCTGTGCTTGGGAAGATTCACATAAAACCTTATGCAAAACTTCCTGATAATAAGGATCATAGAATCATAAGATCATAGAATCATAGAGTGGTTTGGGTTGGAAGAGATATTTAAAGGTCATCTAGTCCAATCCCTCTGCAATGAGCAGGCACATCTCCAACTAGATCAGGTTGCTCAGAACACCATCCAACCTGGCCTTGAATGTTTCCAGGCATGGGGAATCGACCACCTGTCCAGGCAACCTGCTCCAGTGTTTCACAACCCTCATTGTAAAAAATTTCTTCCTAATATCCAGTCTAAATTTACCCTCTTTAAAAATCATCACCCCTTGTCCTGTTGCATCAGGCCCTGCTAAAAAGTTTGTTCCCATCATTCTTATAAGCCCCCTTTAAGTACTGAAAGGCCGCAATAGGGTCTCCATTGAGCCTTCTCGTCTCAAGGCTAAACCGCCCCAACCCTCTCAGCCTTTCCTCACAGCAGAGGTGTTCCAGCCCTTGGATCGTTTCTGTGGCCTCCTCTGGACCCGCTCCAACAGGTTAATGTCTGTCCTCTGCTGAGGGCTCCAGAGCTGGATGCAGGACTCCAGGTGGGGTCTCACCAGAACAGAGCAGAGGGGCAGAATCCTCTCCCTCGACCTGCTGGCCACGCTGCTTGTGATGCAGCCCAGGATACGGTTGGCCTTCTGGGCTGCGAGTGCACATTGCCAACTCCTGTCCAGCTTTTCGTCCACCAGTACCCCCAAGTCCTTCTCAGCAGGGCTGCTTTCAATCACTTCATCCCCCAGCCTGTATTGATACTAGGGTTGCCCTGACCCACGTTCAGGACCCTGCACTTGGCCTTGTTGAACCTCAAGAGATTCTCACAGGCCCCCTTCTCAAGCTTGTCCAGGTCCCTCTGGATGGCATCCTATTCTCAAGATAAAAGAAGTACGTAACAACATAAATTGGGCACATCATGGAGCTATCACAGGAGTGGCCTCTAAAATTTAATAAATTACGTAAATATCAGTCCAGAATGAGATCCAGTCATCTGGTTAAGCCTTGAGAAAGAGGATAGACTGGATGACCTAGAAATTTCTTCCAGTCTTTTTGTCCTTTTTTCTTGTTGTCTAAAATGATACTGTTTAAAACTGTGGAGCAGCCTACACTGGCAATACATCGGTGACTGGAGAGTTGCTAAGGCATAGCAATATCTGAAAGATAGACAGCTCTATTAACTTTTTCATCACTCTCTGGTAGGTTATTTTTTTGTATGCCTAATAAAAGCTAAGTATGATTTGGTAGTAAGATCAAAACAAACTCTTCTAGACTATTTCTAATAAATTCTAAATGGAAAAGGTTTGTGTTTCTTCAGGGTTTTTGTTTTATTTTGTTTTTTGGTTTGGGGGTTGGGTTTTGTTTTGGATTTTTTGGAGTTTTTGCAAATTCTTATCTGGAAAATACATTTGTTATATAAACATCTCTGGATAATGCATTTGAGAACTTAAGTAGTTTCTTTGTGTTTTATAGAAATATGGCAAAAAATACCAGAGAATTTGTCACATGACTTAAAGTGGCAATTCAGCAACACTACATGAATTTTCACAGTTGGTTTTCAAGAAAGTTTTAAAATATTTTTCTGTTTAAAAATGAAATCAGGAATCTTGCATTGTTCCCTTTACTTCTAGTCACTTGCCTTTCATACTTTGTTCATTCTGGTGTTTAGAGAATTTAAGTAGATGAAAGCTTCCACCTACATTCCAGCGCATTCTCTCTTTCTGCTCTTCTATCCACATGTGATAGGGTAGAATTTTCTTGTCAGTGAGCAGCAATTATGTGACATCCTTCTTGCTATAATTCCACGTAACAGTCTTTAGTAGATATGGTGTGATCAGTGTCCACCGTGAGTCTTGTTGCAATTTCAATACCATTTAAAAACTGACAAGCTTTTTGCAAGATGGCACATTAATATTACTTTACAACTCTAGTTTTTTGTGGACAAATTAATGGATGAAGAGACATAACCAAAGATTTAGGGCAAGTAGATATTTTGAGCCAAATGCAATGCCTCATTGGCTTAACTTTTAAGTGTCTTTCTTCCAAAGTGGAATTCAAGCATGTTATGTTTGGATTTAAGAGTTCAAACCCAGGGAATAAGAAGGACATGACTCACTATGGCATCTAGTACATCCTCAGTACTGAGCACTGTCAGCTTGCAGCTATGTAGACCTAGTCACTAGGGAACTGAGGCAACTGGAAGGAGTTTTGCCTTACCTCCTTAGTTAATGCCATTCAAGGTTGAAGGGTGAAATTCCCAATCTCACTTACAGGAAGAAGAAAGAAGTTTGTGTGGAGTAGTAATTTGTCTACTCTCTCCGCAGCAGGGAATTCTGAATTCTGGTATCTGTTCCCAGCTCCGTTCCTGTTTTTCACCCACTGACCGTTTAACTTAACCCACTGACCGTTTAAGCAGGCAGTGTCCAGTTCTGGGCTCCCCAGTTCAAGAAAGATGAAGAGCTACTGGAGAGAGTCCAGCGGAGGGCTACAAGGATGGTGAGGGGACTGGAGCATCTCCCCTACGAGGAGAGGTTGAGGGAACTGGGCTTGTTCAGCCTGAAGAAGAGAAGGCTGCGAGGGGACCTTATAAATGCCTACAAATATCTGAAGGCTGGGTGTCAGGAGGATGGGGCCAAGCTCTTTTCAGTGGTGCCCAGTGACAGGACAAGGGGCAATGGGCACAAACTGAGGCACAGGAAGTTCCGTCTGAACATGAGGAAGAACTTCTTCCCTCTGAGGCTGACGGAGCCCTGGAACAGGCTGCCCAGGGAGGTTGTGGAGTCTCCTTCTCTGGAGATATTCAAGACCCGCCTGGACAAGGTCCTGTGCAGCCTGCTGTAGGTGACCCTGCTTCGGCAGGGGGGTTGGACTAGATGACCCACAGAGGTCCCTTCCAACCCCTACTATTCTGTGATATTCTGTGATATTACTCGTTATGTCTGTGCCATACAGTAGAGAGCTACTGATTTTTAAAATTCCCCTAGAACGAATTTCAGATTAGAGTGTCTGACTCTTAGCTGTCTTTATTTTGACAAGACTGATGGTCAGAAGCAGCTGTTCAGTACCCTTTTTGGGATCAGAAATACACTGATTGTAAACTTCTAATGAAATACAAGAGGTATTTACTGACCTGCGCAAATATTTTGGACCATTACCTGCATTTCTTTTGCTTATCTAAGTGATAGGAAGTAGAAACTGATAACATTCATGGTAATAAGGATGTACGCTGAGGGACAGGTAACTGTCTGTAAAGATCTAACTGCGCTGAGCCCAGTGGAATTTCTACTTTAATTTAAAGATGACCGATATTAGTGGTCAAGAAGAAGTTTTCAACTGAATTGTATGATTCTTTTTATTTGGAAGGTAACCTTTGCAGAGAAAAATGTTAGGTAATCCAGTATTGGCAGGAGTAGTTAGTTTGGCTTTATCTATATACAAAAGCAAAGTGATGCAGGTGTTTATTTGTTTTTTAGTTCTTTGACAGTTTTAGATTTACAAAAAGTTCTCTGATCATCTGCGACTCACTTCATCCTGCAGAACTTGCAGGAGTTATGTATGCAGTCATAGCTGTGGCTTTGTTTGTCCTCACTCATGCACTTACCCTGAGGCTTGCAGTTGATTTTTAGGTTTATAAACACTTTAATGCCCCTCTTGCAAAGATGGGAAGGTCAGAAATCAGCTAAAAGGAACTCAGGAGTCGGAAGGTATATATGAGCCACCAGCCCTTGTAAAGGTGCACAGGAAGGGCTTGGCATGTGAGGAAACTTGAGGGCTTGTGTGGTCTTATATATGTTGTAACATTTCCAACATTCTCTGTTGAATGAAGGACACATCTGCCGATTTTAGCAGGCGGCACTGCTATCAGGCCCTTCAGCAGACCCAGTGAAGTGTGTGATGGAGACGGAATGTGTAGCAGCTTGGAGTTACAGCGAGTCCTCCTGCATGTGCGCCTAGACTGTGCGGGCAAGGGCTGTGACATTAGGATGCTTCCTAAGATGTGTGTCTTCCTGTAGAGGCTCCTGTGAGCAGAGCACCACTGGGAGGGACAGCTTTTGGTGATAATGCTTCGTTTCTGGAGAGAATTGAGGCAACCCAAAGCCCCAGGAAAAAACATCGTGTGACCTTGCCAGGTGTGGGTGTCATGACAGCATGGAAGAGCTGAGGGGTGATACTCTAGCTCTTGGGCTCTTGCTCGCTGCCATGGAGGAGTACATAAACATCTGTAACAGTCCCAAATGTCCCTAAGCTGTTTGTTTTCTTGCCAATGTTATTCTGTGCTGTGAGACCTACCAAGTGTTTGTCCCTGGTGAAGTGGTTTGAGATCTCAGCCGCTGCCATGGTGTAAGTGGTAATAGTCCATATGTTTAGAAATATTTATTGACTGGCTGTTTGAATATGCAGTTGGAATAATGTTCAGATTGCAGAGGATGGCTGAATATATCTCCCTGTGTAAATAGCATTTCCACCTCAAATAATACCAGGAGAGGAAAAAAGAGAATGTACTTTCTCATAAAAATGCATTAAATAAAAATCATTAAACCCTGCATTTTATCTCTTGTTGCCTAGTAACAACACAGCCACGTCAGCAAGCGCCATTATCTCAGGTGCAATGAACTGCGCTGCACTA